TCGCATTTCTCGTCGCTCGCAAAATCGTTTACATTCGGTTTATACTTCACGCTGTCAATATCGACTCGAGCGCGTATAATTTTCCCGCAGGTGGTGGTGGGCTGACAGGCGCTCCCCGTAAGGGTTCTCACCTATCTGTTCAGCCCAGCACACCACCACCTGCGCCCTTGGAAGGGCAAATAAAATTATTATTATTATTATATTATTATTATTATTTCCACGGGAGCGCGTGTAAATTAAACCCTAAACCCAAGACGGGGGCTGCAGCCAGCAGCTTTGAGAGTGTCATACAATGGATTATAGTTTGACAGAAGCAAGCACAGACTTCGCTAGCGCATTCCAGCCTTGAGCGCTCGAACTTTCGAAAACGAAACCAGATTTTGCTACATTTTGGCTAGCTCGAAACATTTTTTTTTTAATATAGGGTGTCTTTTAGCCAGAATCTAGACTAAGAGAAATGTGTACCTTCCCAATTTATATTTGTGTCACCGTACTATATAAGTAATAATTGTGTAATATCGTTACGTTCATGTAAAATACGGTGGGGGTCACCGGACCTTCGTCTGAAACAAAAAGTCTGTTATATATGCCGAGCGGGTTACTTCTGGAATTGAGTAGTAGTGCCGGGTTGTTAGTGCCTCTGTTCGTTGTTTGTGCATGTACGTGGTTGTGTGTTGATTATGTGGTATGTGCTGTGATGTATGTGTTCGAATGCCGCCGTCCCTGTTCGAGCGTGTCGCTTCCAAAATGTCTCTCATTTTTTGTAGTTTTCCGCATACTCACTAGGTGGCGCAAGCAGCCGTCCAATTTTATTTTAGCTTTGTTCGTACATAGTCCATTTAGTCTGTAAGGAACCACACCACTATAGCTACAGTCTAGTAGAAAAGTTACCGCGTGTTTAAATGGCGCATAGCACCGGCGTTCAGTTCGTCTTCGTTCGCTGGCCGTTTCAGTAGCCGATTCGTACCCGGAAAGCCGCAAAATTTGCGTACACACGAGATATGAGTGGATACGTCGAAACGTCGCGTACAACTTTGCTCGCGGTAAAGAGGTGAGCGGGACGTCGGTAACGCCGGTCGGGTAGGGTCGGGTCGGGTCGGTGTCGGAGCTATTCGTGGTCGCTCACGGCAAACGAGCTTTTTCAATAAAGTTCATGTCTGAGGTCGCGAAGAGATAAGTCTTGTGGAAATTACCCGGCGTCAGTGACAATGCAACCGGCATGAGGCCTCGGCGATCGCCTGAATCGCCACGCGAACGGGACCTGCTCGATGGGGAAACACGCTGCTGGATGCAGTCGATGGTCGCTCCCACTGTCGCGTAATCGCCGTAAGGGATACGGCGTCAGCGCTTGGGGGTGAATGCCTGCGGTAGTTCAGCGCGTATGGACGATTACGAACGAACACGTGCAAACTACGCTTTCGCTGCGGCGAAAAGCCGTGTAATGCGCTGGGCCTCGCTCGTAGAACCCGTCTTACCGTCAAACGGCCGCCATTGTAAAAAAAACACCCCTAGACGTGTGATAGCAGAACGAAGTACACGTTCAAAGATGTTCATTTTACACGAGACCTCGGGTGCAAACGAAATACACCGAGCCTCGCGTGTAAAACGAACACCATTTGGGGGGTCCGCCCTGGGACAACGGTTTACACGTCCAGGGGTGTACTTTTTCGCTGTGTGTGTAGAGAGAGGGAAGTGACGTCAACAACGCAGCAAATGCAGATTGGATGTGGATTTTGTTTTCTTCCGTCAACATCCAATCTGCATTTGCTCTAGTCATTGATGTCACTTCCCTCTTCCAAGTCTCCTGGGAGTGCAAAAAGCGCAACATAGCACCCCTGATGTGTCGGTGAACTGTGTAGCCGAAGGCTACACAGTTCACCGGCATGATTGCGGTGCACGTCGTAATCTAGAACGGGCGTCGTCAGTACGATGACTCGTGTAACCCTTGTTCGCAACATCAAAACTTGAGTCTCGATGGTCTCCTAGGCGCGCAAAGGCGAGAAAAGCAAGATGGCGGTTTGTTTAGAACTAGATACTCTCGAACCCAGGCGCATCAAATACTCCGCGCACGCGCACCGCGTATTTCTACAAAAGGTCCATTAACAAATTTCAAAATTGCCTCTGGTGCCGGTTTATCAAACTGCGTTGGAATGCCGCCACGTCATGAGTTCCTAAGAAGCTGCGCCAGTTCGCGGCAGTATGGTTCGTTCTTGGAGTTACTTAGTCCTGAATGTGACTTGGCGAAGAACGCTAAAGCCTGATTCACATGGTGCGATTTTCTTCTGCAAAATCGGTGGAGCGATGAACCGCACATGCGAAATTTCGCGTTCCCTTTCACATTGATTGAGAGCATATGCGATGTGCCGCTTTTGCGAAGCATATGGTTAGAAGCATTGAATTTGTGTGAGGTAACTATCTTCAATATCTAAAAAATTAATTAATTTATTACGTTCTGGCAAAAAGTACGTGCTATATTTATATTTTGCATGGGCTGATTCAGACATTTCCATCTGCTGCGTTCGCCGCAACGAAATCGACGAAAACAACGAATTCAACGAATACGACAAGGACACCGGGACAAATGCAGCTCATAACTGCTTGAGCAAGCTAGTTGTTGCGTTGCTTGGCATGTCGCGCAAGGCGAACAATTGTTCCGGTGGCTTCATCACGTGGACGATGTTCCATAGTGAAAGAGTGCAAGCAGCAGCGTGCCTTGTCTTTCATAGAGCATGATGGCCGATACTCTAGATGATGACGAAGTCAGGCTGCTCTGTAAAACAAAATACCTAGTTCTGCAGAAGAAAAAACTGCTGCTCCTAGATGGAAACCCGCGGCGATGGTGGTTCCGGCCGTGCTGGCAAAACAAAGCCACAGAATCGGAGTTTTATTCATCGGTAAGTAGACTTGCGTTTTTCTGCGCGCAGGTTTCTGGAATACTTTTTCTCTGCTGACCCTCTTTATGCTTCATAAGGACACGGAGCAGTTTCTAATGGCGAATTCCACTGGGCGTTTTGGAGCGCGCCGGGATCAGTCGACCAGATCCGGATTGGAGCACAAGATCCGAACGGGGTCGCGCCGCCTACGGATCCCCTGTGGAACATGACCACTGCTCCGGGAGCGGCGGATGCCTTCCCGTCATTCAACTGCCCGGGAATCCCCTTTTCGCGGCCGCCGCGGTCGTTTCGAAGACATTTTCGCTACGCGGCGCTAACACGTGTTCGACGCACGAGTGGCAGGAATGGCTCAGGCGCTTCTAGCAAAGATTGCCGGAATGCCCGTAGCGCGGCAAATTCCTTCTCTTCTCCTTCCTGGAAAACGAACCGGCTGTCGAGCCAATGGGTAAGCAAGCCGCCATTACGAATTCTTCTGATGTCGAGACAATCTAGGAGCCCAGCCCGCCACGTGCTTCTTCTTCTTCTGAGGCGAGATGCCCCACGAGAAAAGAAGTCACGTGTGTGCGCCGAGGGCTGGCCCGGCTGGCTTCCGGTTGAATCCGCCGAAATCGTGGGAGCGACTTTTCTCGTGGCGAATTCCACGGGTCGTTTTGGAGCGCGCTGGGATCGACTTTTCCGGAGCGAGCCTATTTCACTGGGCGATCGGGATCGAGACGAACGTGTTCCGCGGGTCGTTTTGGATTACCTCCCTCTCCAGATCTCGATCTGGATCCGAGAAAGTCGCTCCCCCGATTTTGGCGGATTCAACCGGAAGCCAGCCGGGTCAGCCCTCGGCGCACACACGTGACTTCCTTTCTCGCGGGCATCTCGCCTGATCTCGCCTCAGAAGAAATGGTAATGGCCGCTTGCTTACCCCTTGGCTCGACAGCCGGTTCGTTTTCCAGGAAGGAGAAGAGAAGAGAAGGGTTTTGCCGCGCTACGGGCATTCCGGCAATCTTTGCTACACGCTCCTGGGCCATTCCTGCCGCTCGTGCGTCGAACACGTATTAGCGCCGCGATTGCGAAAACGAATTGGAACTTGGAACCAGCTGCTACCAGACACCTGATTTGTTTCAAAAATACCCAGGACGTTTTGGGGCAATGAATCATCACGTAGCAGGCGGTAGACAAGTACACAGCGTTGAAAATATTGATTCCACCGATTCTTATGAAGGCCGATGGTGTCGGTGTCGCAGTTTTGAAGCACTGTCAGTTCAGCTCAACACCACGTTACAAAAGCCGGTTTGGGGTACTGCCGGTCCTAACGCAATTTCACAGTAGAAATAGGAATTGCATGAAAGAACCGGACAGAAACACTTCATACGGTGGCATAAATGCCGAACATATATCAGCGATGTCACTTTCCTCGGTTAGGGCTATCTGCTTTGTCAACGAATGATGAACATCTCGGTAAAATAAAGAGCGGAAAATACTCCCCGTGTCAAGTTTTCTAATTACAGCCACTGGTGGATGTCGTACCGTGGTAATTTCCGGCCCTTCGAACGCACTAGCACTTTGTAGAGTCACAATTCCAGCGATTCCGCGCCGCACACGAACGAAGGTAAACAATCAAGATGGCGGAGTGTTCCCCGTATTGTCCTCGCCGTCAGTGCGGTGTGACAGCGTTGTCGAATAACAAATCGGGCAACACTGTTGCCGGGCGGCAGCAATATGTTGCCCGACTGTTGTTGCCGCGATGTGACAGGGTCGCCGGCAACACGACTTCCCCGTGTTGCCGGAGAGAGTTGTCCATCTGTCCCCTCAGTGTGACAGGGTCTTTACCCCTTGGCTCGACAGCCGGTTCGTTTTTTAGGAAGGAGAAGAGAAGGTGTTGTGTATTTAATCTTTACATAATATATACAGTACAGCATACAGCGGGCACAACCGACCGGGTTGGGGCCAGAGCAGTCGAACCTCTCGTGCCTGCGCGCGAGCACCAGTTCACCGGCATCCCTGGATATCCTCGGTTGCCAACACACAACATCCCTCCCCCCTAGGTCACATAGTCCTTTAGGTAGTCGGGACGTCGCCGTTGTCGCTGGGGACGATTTGACTGTTCTTGCGCAGGCGCTGAAGTTGGCAACACTGTTTGGTGCCTCGGTTCATGGGGTGAAGCAGGTGAACGTTGTGGGGAAGCTGGAGGTGTTGCCACTGGGGTTGACTCCTCAGGGAAGTCCGCTTGACTCGTAGATGGTGGGCACTCTTCCACCGATTCATTCCTAAGCGATGGCTCGCTTGGTAAGGAGAGCTGCTGAGGTGACAGCTCTGTCGTAGGCTCCTCCTCGTCCAGGTATGTGCTCCACTCCCGTCTCCGGATTTGGTCCACGTGCCGCTTCCAGAAACGACCGTCGATGGTGCGAACCTTGTAAGACACCGGACCGGTGATCTCAGTGATGATACCGGGTAGCCACTTGGGGCCTGCTAAATAATTGCGGATGAAGACTGGTTCTCGCGGCTCGAATTCGCGTACACCTTGTCTTCCCCGCAGCGCTTGTTCCTCTTGCTTGTCTCCGTTGTTGTTGATGAGTCTCCGACCCATCAACAATTCCGCCGGACTCTTTCCGGTCGTTGAGTGCGGGAGAATATGCTGACTCAAAAGGAATCGGGCCAACTTGGTGGCCATGTCGCCTCCTTCCATGCGCCTGAGGACTTGTTTAGTTTCTTGGACCATGCGCTCCACTTGGCCATTTGACGATGGATGATATGGCGCCACCTTAACGTGCCGGATCTGGTTTCTCTGCAAAAATTCTTCAAATTCTTGTGAGACGAACGCGGTCCCATTGTCCGAGACTATAGTGTCGGGAACACCGTGTGTTGCGAACAGCACTCGCAGCCTTTGACACACTGCTGCTGACGACATGGATGCTATCTGAATGACTTCCAGCCATTTCGAATGCGCATCCACCACCAGAAGAAAAACCTTTCCTTGGAAGGGTCCTGCAAAATCGATGTGGATTCGGGACCATGGGTTTCTGGCAAATTCCCACGGATGCAGTCTTGCACGTGCAGGTTGCGGCCTTGTCTCCTGGCAGGGCATGCAGGTTCGGACCTTCCTTTCAATATCTTGGTCGATACCCGGCCACCAAACTGTGCTTCTGGCAAGCGCCTTCATGCGGACGATCCCGGGATGCGTGGTATGCAGCAGCTCCAAAACCTGTTCTCTCGCTTGCTCTGGAATGATGACTCTACATCCCCACAGCAGGCATCCCCGATACTCCGACAACTCGTGCTGCCGTCGAACAAATGGCTTGAACTCGTCCGGCAGCCTGCCTTGAGGCCATCCAACCCCCGTCCAATGTCGAACTCTGGACAAGGTTGGGTCGTTCCGGGTGCATCGGGCAATCTTCTGGGCATCCCACGGAATCTCCGGCGCAGTCTCCAGCATCCGGACTTCAAAAAGTTTCTCGTCAGTTGAGCTGTCTTCCACAGTTAGAGGCAGTCGACTCAGTGCATCCGCGTTCCTGAGCTGATGAGCAGGCCTGTACTCCAGCTCGTAGTCGTAAGCCGACAACATTAACGACCATCGCAACATCCTCGGCGACAGCACTTGAGGCATCGGTTTTGCGTGATGCAAGAGTCCCAGTAGAGGTTTGTGATCGGTCACGATCCGAAAATGCCGACCGTAGATGAACTTGTGGAACTTTCGTATTCCAAAGCCTATCGCCAGAGCTTCCCGGTCTGTCTGTGCGTAGTTCCTTTCGGCAGCTGTCATAGTTCGAGAGCCATAGGCTACCGGTACCTCCCGGCCTTCGCTATCAACGTGGCTGAGTACCACCCCAAGTCCGTACGGAGAGGCATCACATGCCATGACTAGTGGCTGGTGGACACTGTAATGGGCAAGGACGTCCGAAGACTGCAGTAGCTGCTTGGCCCGCAGAAAAGCCTCTGCTTCCTGCGTAGTCCATCTCCACTTATGGCCGTTGTCGAGCAGCCTGTACAAGGGCTCCAAATTGTGTGCCGCTCCCCGTAGGAACCTGTTGTAGAAGTTGAGTGCCCCTAGGAACGCTTGCAACTCCTTCTTGCATTTTGGCTCGGGTGCCCCATGGATAGCTTTGACCTTGTCGTCTGTCGGCTGTATTCCTGCCTTGCTGACCTTGTATCCTAGGAATACAACTTCATCCACTCCAAAAACGCACTTGTCCCTTTTTAGCCGGACACCGTCGTCTTGAATTCTTTGAAGCACAGCTTGCAGACGGGTGTTGTGCTCGGCTTCATCTTTACCGCCTACCAGGATGTCATCGAGAAAAACTTGCACCCCTTCCAGCCCTTGCAGCAGCTCTTCCATGTACCTCTGAAAAATAGCGACTGCAACAGCTACTCCGAACTGTAGGCGCGTGACACGGAAAAGTCCACGGTGTGTGGTGATGGTGAGAAGGTCAGCTGTCTCACTGTCAACTGTCAGCTGCAGGTACGCTTGGTCTAAATCAAGCTTGGAAAACCTTGCACAGCCTGCCAGCTTCGCGAAAAGTTCCTCAGGTGTGGGTAGGGGGTAGCTTTCCCAACGGACCACAGGGTTTACCGTACTCTTGTAGTCGCCACAGATTCGCACTGTGCCATCCTTTTTTACCACAGGTACTATTGGAGTCGCCCAACTGGAATGTCGGACCGGTTCCAAAATGCCTTGCCTGATGAGCTTGTCCAAGGCTTCATCCACTTTTGGTAGTAAGGCAAAGGGAACTGGACGCGGTTTGAAAAACTTGGGCTGGGCAGTCGGTTCCACTTCGACTCGAACTGGTGGTCCCTTGCTCTTGCCTAGACCTGGTTGGAAAACGTCGGCGTGACGACTCAGCACTGCTGCGCTGGACGGGCTCTGATTGTTCGTTGCTTCTTCCAGCTGATTGACTCTCAGCTCAATCCCAAGAGCCTTGAACCAGTCTCGGCCAAGCAAGCCTACGCCTGCTCCCTTGATCACGACGAGACGCAGTCGTTTTTGACGCCCTTTATAGGTGACTTGGACCATCACGGAGCCTAGCACCTTCAATTCCTGCTGGTTGTACGTGCGAAGACGTAGTTCACACGGTTGCAGCTTGTGCTTGGACAACCGCAGCTGACGCATAGTTCTCTCGTTGATCACGGAGCACACCGCTCCTGAGTCGACTTCCATCTCGAGAGGGTTCCCGTTCACTTCTACGACCACGCGGATAGCAGGTTCCTCGGCAGTCATTTGGAAGATGCCGAAAACATCCGCTGTTTCACCGTCGCGCCGCCGGCCGTTCTGGCGGCTGCCACCTGTAGGCCTAGGCGTCGGTGAGGACTGTTTCGCTTTTCGTCGACAAACCTTCACGATATGGCCCCGCTGCTTGCAAAAGTGGCACTGTGCGTGTCGAAAACGACACTCGTCTGGTGCGTGTGACCCTCCACAGCGAAAACACTTGCCAGCGTCTTGCTGTGACTTCGACGCAGTCCTTTCTCTTGCTGCCTCGACATTAGGCTTAGCTCTCGGAGCCATTTGCTTACCAACACGACACACATCGCTGCTCTCTGCGGACGCCCCCCTGATCTTTTCTGTCTGGTGGTGGGCGTACTCTGCTGCTATCGCCTTCTCTTTGGCCACCGCGAAGGTTAGTTCCGGCTCGGAGAGAAGCCGTCGCTGAAGGGACTCTTCCCGGAGGCCGCAGACTAACCTGTCTCGGAGCATGTCGTCCAACGTTGGCCCGAAAGCGCAGTGCTCCGACAGCCGACGAAGCTCGGCGATGTAGTCGGCGATACTTTCTCCTTGACGCTGGTCGCGCTTCCCGAACTGGAAACGCTGAACAATGGCGGACGGCCTCGGGTTGAAGTGGGCCGCCAGTCGCGAGACGATGTCGTCGTAGCTCGTCTCGGAAGGTAGAGCCGGTGAGCAGAGTGAACGAACGATGGCGTACGTTGCCGCCCCGCAGACCGTGCACAGGATTGCACGCTTCTTCTCGGCTGACTTGATCTCATTTGCGATAAAGTAGAACTCAAGTCTTTCGTGGTACAGTGGCCATGTTGCACCGGTGCTCGGTGCGAACTCTTCGATGCCGCCGAATGCCGGCGCCGCTGATGCCTTTGCTTCTGCCATGGCGCCGTGAACGGCGCTCTAGAAGGTCTTCCGCCGCAGGTTGACTCCACTTCGTCGCCAATGTTGTGTATTTAATCTTTACATAATATATACAGTACAGCATACAGCGGGCACAACCGACCGGGTTGGGGCCAGAGCAGTCGAACCTCTCGTGCCTGCGCGCGAGCACCAGTTCACCGGCATCCCTGGATATCCTCGGTTGCCAACACACAACAGAAGGTTTTGGGGCCGCGCTACGGGCATTCCGGCACTCTTTGCTAGAAGCTCCTGAGCCATTCCTGCCCCTCGTGCGTCGAACACGTGTTAGCGCCGTGATTGCGAAAACGTGTTCGAAACGACCGCGGCGGCCGCGGAAAGGGGATTCCCCGGCAGTTGAATGACATGAAGGCAAATGCCGATCCCGGAGCAGTGGTCATGTTCCACGGGGGATCCATCGCCGGCGCGACCCCGTTCGGATTGTGAGCTACATTCCGGATCTGGTGAACTGATCCCGGCGCGCTCCAAAACACCCAGTGGAATTCGCCATCGGATCCAGATCGAGATCTGGAGTGGGAGCTAATCCAAAACGACCAGTGAAACATGTCGGTCTCAATCCCGATCGTCCAGTGAAATAGGCTCGCTCCAGAAAAGTCGATCCCGGCGCGCTCCAAAACGACCAGTGGAATTCGCCATAAGATATTGCCGGATGATTCCCAACACTTCTGAAAGACTTCACGCCCTCTTGAAAACAAACCTCACGAAGCAACATGTCTGAGAGAGCCCATTTTGTTGCAGGCGCGGCTGCTATCGCTTTCAAGTAGAATGGCCTTCTTTTTAAACCGCCACGTTTATACCTTTGTTACACGGGCACACTTAACTGCAGTTACGCTAAACCACAATTAGCGCACAATACTTGCCGACAACATTCTGCGGCGATGCAGTCAGAGCTATGAGCGAACGTGCGCTTGAGCATCTTGAGCACCCATCAAAGCAGTGCACGCGCTCTCTTTACTTCTTCCGAAATAGCTGTCCGAGAGTATAGTGCGGTAACTGTGGTGCCGCGTAACCGCAGTTAAAGCTGAGTTAACCGCGGTTAAGTGTGCCCGTGTAACAGGGGTATTAGAGTGAATACGAGGTGCAATTAAACTGGTTTACAGGAAG